TCAGATTATTAAGGAAAACAATACCAAACATAGTGGTCGATTATGAACTAATAAAATACATTATGAGCAGAGATAATTACTTATAAACTAGTAAAAACACATCATAAGAAGAGTTAATTAGTAGAAGACAATAGAGTAGACATAATTTCAACTTAAATAATTAAGAGGGAGGAAGGGTCATAGTACAATGACCTTCTATTGAGCAGCAAATCAAAAAAAGATTTTGTTTAGCCATTTAGGAGCCAAAGCTCAAACAATTACTAGTGAGTAGAGCTCATAACCGGTAAGAGAGAAAAGAATTATAGATCAATCAGAACCTAGGTTTTGATTGATTCTTGAGCTATTGTATGTCTGTCTTAGGTTGTGTTAGGTCTATTAGGTGAGAGCATTAAAACTCCTATTTATAGTGGCATTCAATGGCTTAGTATTTTAAGCAGATTTGAACTTGGTAGTGGAGAGCGACGACTACCAGATGATGCGAGAGAAATCGAGTGAAAATCAGAGAAACGGAGATAAATCAGCGAGAGCTTTTACCCAAGAAGAGAGAAGTTGACTGTTGAAGGCAAACCCAATTGGACAAAGCTTCAGTATCCAGAGGTCATTGCATTTGACCTCTGGACCTCAAATAATCATAATGAAGCTTTGAGATATGCTCATGCATGCTCCGATTTGATCGAGCATAAGAGAAATCTAGAGACTCGAAGTTTCAGCTTTGAGTATAGGGTTTCCGATTTGGGGTTTTGAATTTGTGTGATGAAACGGGGAAGAATCCGATGGGATTCGGAGATTCAGAAGATAAAGGGGAATATTTCCTAGTCGATTCATGACCTTGCACGAATTTGTGCAAGGTTTTTGATTGAGTGGGATCTGTCGTTTGAGAGAAAAGGGAGAGAAAGGGGGAAGGGGGTAGATGAGTCAAGAGGGAAATAATTTTTAGGGTTTGGGGTTAGATCGACTGGTCTCTAGGTTAAAGTGGAAGAGAAAGATCTGGGCCATTGGATCATTTGATCAATGACCCTGATAATTCTGGTATTAAAAGATTTTAACGAAGAATTATGTGAGTCATTGGATCCATGTGTTTCAACGGCTGCGATTGGATTTCGGAGGCGTTATAATTAAAGGAAAATCAAGATAAAATATGGGTCATTGATCGAATGGATTAACGACTATGATGTGTGTGTGTGTTTCTTATGTGAGTGGTGGAATGGGTGACGTGGCGAATTTCTATCTGTTCCTAGGAGTTGGGGCGGATTACCAAAGTGGAATAGAGAAGGTTGTGTTGGACTGAGTCATATTGAATTAGGCCAAGGTTTTGGGCTGGCTTTGATTTAAGAGATTGGCACTTTGTATTTAATTGTGCAATTGTAGTTGTAGCCATTTAGTCTTTAACCTCTTTAAAATTAATTTAATTAGACTAAATTAATTTTAATAAAATATAATATAAATTATAATCATCAAATACATTACTAATTACTGTAATTAATTAATTAATAATTAAAATATCTTACTTTCCAATTTATGACACTAATTTCAGATTATTTTAAAATAGTAGGCTATTTTACTAAAATTAAGGAATAATCTTTTAAAATTAATTATAAACCCATGTAATGAATATAAAGGTCATTTCTATGGTCACGAAATAGCACGAGTAGTATATTTATGATTATATAATACTAAATTATTGATTTTAACATTACTAATTTATATAAAAATATGTTTTATTGATTAGAGAATATTTTCAACATATTTATTATAAATCAATAAGTATAAGTAAACTAATTTTAAAAAGGATGGTCAAAATTGGTCGTCAACAGCTACCCCTCTTTGATCGAAGATGATAAAAGAGTTTTTGGGCAAAGAAATGGAAGCAAGAACAATTTTGTCCCGACTTTAGGCATGTATTGCAGGAATGTCATACGGATTTGAGGAAGATTATGGGTTGCAGGATTAAGGGAAGAGTCAAGGAAGATTTTGGGGCTTTTGGAAAAATTAGGGTCGAATTCTGGCTTTGAATTGCTTACATACCTCGGGCTTAACAAGGATCAAGCCTCATGTAATTCTGAAACAATGATTTGGAGAAGGCGATGCTTGTAGGATTTGCCCCAGTATCGTATTATGAGATACTGCAAGACGAAATATTTTGGTACCCAAGATGGCTCTGAATTACGGCTTGATTATGAGACTTGAAATATTTGATGATTTAGAGTTCTACTGATCATTTTTTGAGTTTGGCTTTGGATCCTCGGACCTCTTATGATTTTGTTGTCCCTCATAGCGTTGTAGCTTGGTATGTTGCTTAGAATTAATTCCACATTACCGATGTTTGATCCTGCAAAAACAAAATACATACATACCCATATATCGTAATGCAGATATGTTAAGATGTGATGTAAATGATGCAGGAATTATGATGCCTAACTTCCTGCTATCTTTTATTTGGGATCGGGGTGACGGATACTTGAAATTGCCTCAATTGTTAGTCGAGCTGTGTATCATTCCGCAACTGTCGGAGCATTAAGTCTCCTCGTGATGGGAGTATCTCCGCGTGATGGGAGTAATTGACTTGAAATGTAAAATATCTCAGCATGGTAGGAGTAGTTGGCTTGAAATGTAAAGTATCTTTGCACGATGAGAGCTTTCTGACTTGAAAAATATAAAGTATCTGTAAGCTGCATGAACAAAATATCAAAATATTCAACATAAAATAAAGAAATAAGAAGCATGCCCACGAGATACTCTTGACTACAAAACTAAATTACGGCTGTCGATCGGCAGAACATATGGCGGGATCGGATGGTTCGTCCTTCTATTGGAAAAGTTGGCGGAAAAATTTGCAACTATCTACTTGTAATCTTAGATATGGCGGAGTGACGGTGCAATCTGTGAAAAGTACTCTAGTTGGAGAAGCGAACAGTTTGCTATATACAGGGCTTTGATTGGCAAAGCCAACGACTTGATTTGTAGAAGGCGTTCCGATTGATTGAGCTGACAGTTTGCTATATACATGGCTCCAATTGGCAGGGCCAATGGTTCGCTATATGCAAGGTGCTATGCTTGGTTGAGCAGATGATTTGCTCTTTACAGTATGCTCCGATCGTATCGGAGACTTGGTCCCAGAATCTCTTCAAAGAATTTTAGAGTTATTCCTTAGTTATATGGGGAAATAAATTATATAATGAAAGAGATATAAAGTTCATGAGAGAATAGTGGGTCCGTCATTGTTCTGATGTGCCCCAGTAATCGTCTCTTATTGGTCCTACGTTCAAAGAAAAATTCTTAGCAAGAGGAGGGGGGTTATTAGTTTGTATTGATCGTAGTCCTGGCCTTAACCCCGGTCTAGTGAGATTATGCCGCGAAGTTCGGTAGGTGGAATGATAGTTTTCTTAGAAAATATTTTTAAAATTACTCATTTTTGTGGAAAATGTCATCATTCCGGATTATGACATGTTTAGAAATTCTTTCTGGCGCGAACACTATTTCTGGATGACTTTGTCCCGTTGATGTCGGTTCGTGGAGATGCCTTTGGTGACATAGCTTAATGCTGCCGAGATTGCATCCTACTGTAAACAAATACATTACAAAGGTTTCCCTAGGGTTATAATCGAACCTTTTCAGGTTGCCTATGTATCCGAATAGAATCAGGTTTGAACGTATTTCGAGGGTAATGATAAAGAAATTATGATGATGATCGAGCCTATCACAGGCATCCTACGTATCCAAATGGAATCAGGTCGAAAATGAAGTTGCCAAGTCTGACTCAGACTGCGTATGTATCCAAAAAGAATCAGGCTAGAACGTAGTTCAATTACAACAGGCGACTGAATCCGATGAGGATTTCTTACGTACTCCTACCGAAGAAAATCAAGTCGTGGCGTAGTTTTGAGTACATACTAAATGATATTTGAATTTTCGAATACAAAATAGAGGGAGATCGGACCCTACGTGGGTTGCCTACGTATCTCACCATGGGAAGTCAGGTCGGGCTTAGTTCTATTACAACCTATCCCTAATTCTACTATCTTCAAATGTAGTATCTCTTGATTGCATCTGAGTTGATGGGATTCGTGCTGAGTCTTCCGTCCATTTCAACTAAGATCAAAGCTCCCCCTGACAATACCCGATGGACCACGTAAGGACCCTACCGATTCGGTGCAAACTTTTCTTTGGCTTCTTCTTGATGGGGGAATATTTTCTTCAAAACCAACTGCCCCGGTGTAAATTGCCAAGGTGTCAACTTCTTGGTAAATGCACTAGCCATCCTATTTTGATGAAGTTGACTGTGGTTTACTGCGTCGATTCTCTTTTTGTCAATGAGCATGAGTTGCTCCTATCTGACCCGTGTCCATTCTACGTCGTCTAACATGACTTCTTGAATGGACCTCAAGGATGGTATCTCAACCGCTGTAGGTGTCACAGCTTCGGTGCCATATAACAATATGTATGGCATTTCCCCAGTGGATGTTCTCATGGTGGTGCGATAACCTAGACGGGCAAAGGATAATTTCTCGTGCCATTGCTTGTGATTGTCCACTATCTTTCGTAAAATCCTTTTGAATGTTTTTATTGGCTGCTTCAACTGCTTCATTCATTTGCAGCCTATAGGGTGTGAAATTATGATGGATGATTCTAAACTTCTCACAAATTTTGCTCATGAGATCGCTGTTGAGATTGGATGCATTGTTAGTGATGATCGACTCCGGTATCCCGAATCGACAGACTATGTTGTTACGGACAAAATCTGCTACCACCTTCTTCTTGACGACCTTGTATGTAAAGGCTTTGACCCATTTTGTGAAGTATTCAATGGCTACCAGGATGAAACAGTGTCTTTTTCACATGGCAGACTCTATAGGTCTAATCACGTCTATGCCCCAAGCGGCGAACGAACAAGGAGAACCCATTACATTCAGGTTGTTAGGTGGAACCCGGATTAAATCTCCATGAATCTAGCACTGGTGACACTTCTGCACGAAACAGATACTATCTCTTTCCATGGTCATCTAAAAGTATCCGGCTCTCAACATCTTCTTGGACAAAGTGAAACATTTCATGTGAGGTCTGCATGTTCCTGTGTGTATTTCTTCTAGTAATCTTGTTGCTTTAGCAGCATCTACACACCTTAAGAGACCCAAATCCGAGGTCCTCCTATACAGGACTTCCCCTTTAAGGAAAAAGTGATTTGCTAGCCTTCTGAGTGCTCGTTTCTGACCATTGGTGGCCTTCTTTAGGTATTCTCTTGCTTCAAGGAACCTTTTGATGTCGTAGTACCACGATTTACCATTTGGCTCCTCGTCTACATGGAAATAGTATGCCTCCTGATCCCAAACCTCTATCCTAATAAAGTCTATATAGTTCTTATCAGGATGCTGCATCATGGATTACAAGGTTGCGAGAGCATCGACAAACTCGTTCTGGATTCTGGGAATGTGTTTGAACTCAATCTTGATGAATTTCTTGCACAGCTCTTTCACGCAAAGTAGGTACAGAAGTATCATGAGATTCTTGGTAGCCCATTAACCTTGGACATGATGTATCAGTAGATCAGAATCTCATATGACCAGAAGCTCATTGATGTTCATGTAAACTTCCATCCTAATCCCGAGGATATATGGTTCATACTCAGCCATAGTATTGGTGCAGGGGAACATTATCTTAGCTGAACCTAGGTAATGTTGTCCTGACTCACATAGCAGGACTGCCCAGATCCCTACTCCTTTGAAGTTTATTTCTCAGTCGAAAAACATTCTCCATCCTAGGTATGACTCTGCGATATCTTCCCCGGCGAACAACACTTTTTCATCTGCAAAGTATTTAGCGAGCAGTTCGTGGTCCATGTCCACTGGGTTCTCTGCAAGATGATCGGATAATGCTTGTCCCTTGATATCCTTCTGCATCACGTACACGATATCAAACTTACTGAGAAGAATCTTCCACTTGGCCATCTTTCCAGTACGCATCAGCTATTGGAAGATGTGCTTTAGCGGATCAAGCAAAGACATCAAATGTATGGTGTATGCCGACATGTAGTTCCTTTATTTTTGAGCGATCTAAGTCAAAATTCAATAGGTCCGCTCTATCATAGTGTATTTGGCTTCACATAGTGTAAACTTCTTGCTCAGGTAGTAGATAGTTCATGTTGTCCCATCATGCATCCAAATGCATTCTCCAGAACAGACAGGTATAATAACAACAACTTTCCGGTGGATTTGAAAAATACTCTTAGATCTCGTTGAAAGCTTTCTGATATTCTTCTATCCATTTTGTAGCAGCATCCTTTTATAATGGCTTAAAAAAAGGCTCGCAAGTTACCGTAGACTGTGCTATGAATCTGCTGATGTGTTTTAATCTTCCAAGGAAGCTCATCACGTCCTTCTTGCTTTTGGGCGGCGATAAGTCTTGAATGTCTTTGATCTTTGAAGGATCCAATCCTATCCCTTTCCTGCTCACGATGAAGCCTAACAATTTTCCGAGGGTAGGGACTCCAAATGCACATTTAACAAGATTCAACTTGTATGTCCGCAAATGTTCAAAGAAATCCTTTAGGTCATTCAAATGCTCTGCACTCTTTCGGAATTTGATGATGACATCGTCCACATATACCTTGATTTTCTTGTGGATCATATTGTGAATGAGAGTCGTCATGGCCCTCATATAAGTAGCACCGGCCTACTTGAGGCCGAATGACATGACCCTGTAGCAATAAACTCCCCATGGCACAGTGAATGTTGTTTTCTCCGTGTCTTCCTCATGCGTCAGGATCTTGTGGTACCCGGTGAAGCAATCCATGAATGACTGCAACTAATGCTTTGCGCAATTGTCGATAAGGATGTGAATGTTTGGTAAAGGGAAATCATTCTTCGGACTAGCCTTGTTATGGCCTCGATAATCCACACATATCCTGATCATCCCATCCTTTTTTGGCACTGGTACGATGATTTCCAACCATGTAGGATAATTGCAGACACTTACCATATCCGCCTCTATATGCTTGGTGACCTCTTCTTTATCCTTAAACTCAAATCTAGCTTGAACTTTCTATTTTTTTTAACTGGCGGTCTGGCAGGATCGATGGGAAATCGATGCGAGACAATGTCGGTACTCAATCCGGGCATGTCATCATATGACCATGTGAACACATTGATGTATTGTTGAAGGAGCTCGACCAGTTCTTCTTTCTAATCCGATTCTAAATGGGTGCTGATTTGTGTTTCTTTCATGTTGTCTTTGCTTTCCAAGCTGATTACATATGTTTCTTCAAGATTAGCCTTTTTTTGGTTCTCTAACTGCTCGATCTCTTGCGGGAGGTTATCAGGCATCATGCTTTCGTCATACTCCTCGTAACCGGGATCGTTTTTCTTGAAGCTTTCTTTACATGTCATAATCGTGGAATACGGATTTTTATCAATTTGACTACTGAAAAGAAAAACTATGTATAAATAAAGTGGTAAATAGATTTGCAATGATTTTAGGAAAAGCAATTCTTTCATATCATCCAAAGGGGAACGTCTAAGCATTCAAGGAGGCAATTGACCAAAAGTACAGGCACAGCTAAGCCCTTAATTGACCTTGCATTTTTTCAGAATTTTTATAGTTCCACACTACCAAGAATCCGCGGTCCAATTCTACAAGGCTTCTCCTGGTTCGGCCTCCCGAATGGTCGGTTTCTTGATATTAGCTTCATTGTGGAATTCCTCGATCATGGCTACGAACAGTCTTTCCATCCCATCTACAATGTCGCCCTCTGGTGCTGAGCTCTGACCCGGGCCCAGAACACGCTCTGGCACAAAAGCCTTCTTCCCAAAGCTACCGGTGTAGATCTTCCCAGTTGGAGGCTAATACCCTATGAGAGCTCTACCCTTCTATCCCCTTGGCTTAATTAGATATGTTATCACATCTGATCGGGCTCCTAGCCCAGCCCCTAGTCGGCACTTGTATTTTATTATCTCTCTCATGGCCATATTTATCTGCATGGTGGCTGCATACCTAGATTATTCTCAGTCTTCTCTATCTTCGTGGTCTGTATGATCTCGATCGTGTGAAAGTGTGACTGATCACGTCCACTAGGTACCGTTGTGGTGTACTCATACTACGCTTCTGCACATTTTTTGTGCAGATCCAGGTACGTCTACCCGACCGGAAGCTATAGTTGATAGAGTTGCTGCTTGGGAGACTTCAAGGTATACCTGCTCCATGTTTGCAGGCCTCGAAGTCACCTTCCCTTATTCTATTTACTGTTGTAGTTCTTTCAGACAATGATGTAGTAGCTATCCCAGTTTTTACTCAATATAGGTTATGACTCAGTTCCAGCGATTTTGGGGTGTGTATTGTGAGATTCTATTTCTGGAAGGTTTCTATTTTTCAGTTTTTATTAATTGTTAGGCTTACCTAGTCGTAGAGACTAGGTTCCATCACGACAGTCTATGGAGGAGAAATTGGAGTCGTGACAAGTTGGTATCAAAGCTCTAGGTTTATAGGTATTACAGTCATAAACAGGTTTAGTAGAGTTACGCGGTTCGGTACAGAGACGTCTGTACTTAGCCTCGAGAGGTTATGGAACTGTTAGGAACACTTTACTTCTTTGATTCCTCATTGTGCCAATTGGTTGATTTTGAAAACTAAATCTTTGATTTTCTATTCCCTCACGGATGGTGAGGACACGCATCGCAGGATCAGACAATCAGAGGCACGCGCCCCTTGCTAAAGCCGGAGGCTAGGGCAGAGGCAGAGGCCGAGGATGGGCACGTGGTGCAGCTAGAGAACCTGCCCGAGCTGCAACAGAGGAGCCACCAGTAGCTCCAGTCAGGGGATAGACACTCGAGGCACCTATTACCACCCCAGCACTTCAAGAGACCCTCACACAATTCCTAAGCATGTTCGGTACCTTAGCTCAGGCGGGGTTGATCGCACTTGCAACAACCACATCTCAGGCTAGGGGAGGAGCACAGACTCGTGCGGCCCGTACCCCAAAGCAACGGGTCCAAGTTGATCAGGTCCTAGAGGTTATACCGGTACACCCTATTATTCTGGTTCAGCCCGTCGTTCGGGAAGCATCATCTGAGGAGGAGCCGCTTAGGATCGATAGGTACAATAAGTACCACCGCATTCTCTGCACTATGGGTATCGTGGAGACGAGTGGGGTTGCTTTTACTATGTTCTAGCTAAAGGTAGCGGCATATCAGTGGTGGCGAGCAGATGAGGTGGGTAGCCCAGCTGAGGCAGCTTCACTTACATGGGATCAGTTTTTAGATTTTTTCTTGAGAGAGTTTGTACTCGGACCCTTCGGGATGCATGGCGCACGGAGTTTGAGAAGCTACGCCAGGTGTTATGACAGTGTCGAAGTATGCTGTCTGATTCAGTGATTTGTCCAAACATGCACCTGCCTTGGTTTCTACAGTAAGATAGCGAGTCCATCGATTTATCAAGGGGCTCAACTATGGTATTAGGTTCAGCATGACAAGGGAGTTGGTGTCAGATACTCCATATCAGTCGGTGGTTGAGATTGCACGGAGGTTGGAGGGTATGCGAGGCCATGAAAGAGATAATGGGGAGGCCAAGAGGCCTCGTGGTATGGGAAGGATTTAGTGGTGGTCATGCTGCAGCTACAGCCCGTCATGGTAGGGGCTATGTGAGCCGTCCAGTTCATTCAGCACTTCAAACTTCTATTAGCGCTCCGGGTATTCCGAAATCTCAGGATGCACACTTTGCTCAGCCACTTTCTTGTGCATCTCCTAAATGGGGTGCCTTCAGCGGTCAGTACAATTGATAGTCCCAGCCGCCACGTCCATTGAGAGCTTTCTATGAGTGTGGTGATACCCACCAAATGGTCAGAGACTGCCCCAGACTCAGGAGGGGTGCACCTTCCAAGACTACTCAGGCTCCACATATTCAGTCAGGTCCGTAGACTTCTCAGGCCATAATTGCAACACCAGTTGTCGCTCCAACAGCACAACTATCTAGGGGTGGGGGACGGGCGGGTAGAGTAGAGGTCGCCCTAGAGGGGGAGGTCACGCCAGATACTATGCTTTTCCGGGTAGGACAGAGATAGTGGCTTCAGACTCAGTCATTACAGGCATGGTTCTGGTTTGCAATAGAGATGCATCAGTGTTATTTGATCTGGGATCCACTTATTCACACTTTGCCCCATATTTGGATATATCTTGCAATTCTTTGAGTTCTCTTGTTTATGTGTCCATGCCTGTGGGAGACTCTATTGTTATGGACCATGTGTATCGGTTGTGTTTAGTTGTTATTGGTGGTTTTGAGACTAGAGTTGATATATTGTTACTTAGTATTGTAGACTTTGATGTTATCTTGGGCATGGACTGGTTGTCGCCCCATCATGCTATTCTTGATTGTCACTCCAAGACTGCGACGCTTGCTATGCCAGGTTTACAAAGATTAGAGTGGATAGGTGCATAAGATTATGTTCCTAGCAGAGTTGTATCATTTCTAAAGGCTCAGCGGATGGCGGAGAAGCAATTTGATGCTTATCTAGACTTTGTGAGGGATGTCACTGCTGATACTCCTACCATTGAGTTAGTTCCAGTGGTGAGAGACTTTCTAGATGTATTTCCAGCAGATCTACTGAGCATGCTACCTGACAGGGTTATTAGTTTTGGTATTGACT